CTTGCTACGGCACGAAAAGTGCAAAAACGCATAATCGCACCGGCTCGCCTGGTGCGTTCCAGCCTGAGTAAATTTGTGGGGTAATACGCGGGCAAGGGTATTCTCCTAAAATTTCAGCTTTATAGCTTTTCTGGTTCTCAAGTTAAAGGTTTCCGCGCCAAAATTTCACGTGTCCGTAAGTGAAAACTAGGCGCGCGTGGACGGTGAGTTTAAGTTTGCGAGATAACACGCGAGTAGAGAGTCCTACCTTAAAATTTCAGCTTCTCTGGTTTCCGAGCTGAAATTCCCGGATAAAATGCACTCAGGATACACAAACACAGACGCACACAAACACACAGACAGGGTCTGACTATGATGAACTCTTTGTTTTGTTCATGCTTCAAAAAATTATTTTTTAATGTATAATAAACATTAGTAGAAATCTTTTAACAGTCATGCATGATTATGTCGAATTTTACGAGATCGATAATGCTTTTTCCGATACGAAGAAATAGCGAGCTAGAACAAATGCGCACCGTTTCCAGCTTTTAAATCTCCGGACCTGAGTTCTTTCTGGTACAGTTCGTCACATAGTAATAAAGTGCTCCCAACGAAAGAATTCGTATCGGTAAATTAAACAATGAAAAACAAATTCACGGCTGTGGTTGCATGGGTTTTGTACATGAAGTTTAATTCTTCTGTGGCTATCTGGGTGTGTGGAGACGGATCACTGGAAAGCCCTTGCATCGATCATTGAACGCAGCTCGTGCACAATATTATCCTTCATTAGCTTATCCGCAATTTCAGCTAGACGTCGTTTTGGATCAAAACGGCCAACTTTTTTCGCTTCCGCTTCAGCTTTTGTCAGTGCCTTTGGCTTCTCACTTTTGTCTTTCTTGGTAATTTTCTCGCTTTGCACTTTTTCTGCCTGTGGCGCGCACAGTTCCTAAAATGCAGCCAGAAAGCATTCAGTTTCATTTACAACTTTTTTGCTTTTCCAATTCCAGTCTGAATACACACATACGTGCATATATATATATATATATATATATATATATATATATATATATATATATATATATATATATATATA